CCGTCATATGTCCATCTTCACTGCAGCCTGAAAGAGGCCATTCCTTTGTGGGCACAACTGCTCGATATTAGCCAGAGGGGCTTTTCCACTTTCCTGGAGCCATCTCTAGTGGTTTTTATAGATGCCAGCCTGGAAAAGTATTGAGCTCATTTGAAACAGACATCAATTCAAAGGTGATGGACCATGGAATAGGAGAAAAGCAGCTTCAACAGTTTGGTTATTAGCCCTCCAAATGGTGGTGTGCCTTAGGAACAGCTAAGCGCTCCCAAACAAGGCCTGCTCTGCCCTCCATTTACAATTTCATCTTTCACACTATACGGGGAGTACTGGGTGTAATATTCAGCAGAACCAGTCTCTGTTTGTGTTCCTAGACAGTTTCCTCTTGGCTATTCTTTTAAGCAGTCAAATTATGCCCTGTTAATACAAGGCATGTTAAGATGTGCTTAGATAGGTAGATAGCAAGGCAGATAGATAATAATAAATAGAGCTGACATCTATAGACTGCTTTAAGGTTTGCAAAGGACTTAACATACTTATCTCATTTGGTTGTCATAATTATCCCTGTGAGGTAGGTCCTAACTTTTAGTACCCCAATTTTATGGATGAAGAAACATAGGCTTGGTGCAGCTAAGTGACTTGGATCACATGGAAAGTAAGGGTCTGAGGCAGGATTCAAACCTTGGTTGCACTAACTCCATGTCCATCCGTCTATCTGCTAGACCACAAGACCTTCAAGACTCATCTCACCTCAGCTTCCATTTCCTTCTTACAACCTTTCTTGGTCATCCCAGCCAGAAGTGATCTAGTTTTCTTCCTAATTTAGTAGTCTTTACAGTCTGTATAATTAATCTGGCTGTCAATCAGGTCCTCCTTTGCAGTATTTCTATTGTTGTCTTGGATTGCAAATCAAACTTCTTATGACCTACTCCAATGTTCCAATGGGTCAGTGACCTCAAGGATGTGGATGGCCCTTTCAACAATGCAGATCACTGCTTATCAATGGCTGATCATTTAGTGTGACTGGCATCCGTGTCCTCCCACAAATTCCCCACATATCAGGACCTTCCTTAGGCTCTCATCACATTTCATGGATATGAGCAGAGTACATAGAATGGCCATTGATCACCCTTGAGCTGGCTATGTGATCAGACCTTTGTTTTTCGGGTCACAAACTCCAGTTAACCGGCATTTATCAAGTGCCTGTTTTGTACCAGGCGTCGGGTTGGAAATACAAAGACAAAGGTGAACCCGTCCCTCACTTCTGGGGCAGGGGCAGAGCAGGAAAGAGGAGGGCAGGAAGGGGAGAGGCAACATGGCCCTAGGCAGGGTGTCCCCAGCAGTTTTAAAACTGCACTAAGACTTTGGGGGACAGTGCACAAGTGGCTGGGGGGATCGAGAAAGTATTTGTGTAAAAGGTGGCACTTGAGATGAGTCCTAAAGGAAGCTGGGGATTAAAAGAGGCAAAGGTGAGGAGGGAGGGAATCCCAGGCATGTGAGAGAGCTAGTGCAAAAATACAGAGGCTGGAGATTGAGGATTGTTCATGAAGAAAGATAAGGTCAATTTTATATGTATACACATGTGTATATTTGTATGTGTGTATATACATGTGCATGCATATGTTTGTATGCACATATATACATGTGCACATAGCATACCTGTATGTATATATGTGTGCAGACACATGCCTGTATAGGTATATATACACATGTATATATTGGATATATGAACACATGTATATTTGTGTGTATGTGTATATAGATGTGTATTATATGTATGTATACATAATATATTATGTGATAGGTACATATGCACACACATGTGTATATATGTGACACACACATATATATTGTATATATGCATATTTGTGTGTATGTATGTATACAGTATATGTTTATATATTTATGTACATATGTGTATCTACATGTGTGTATGTGTATATACAGGCATGTGCTTATATATTTATTGCCTATACATAGCTACATGTGTGTATATGTGCACATGCACATGAATGTAGATATGTATATGTGTTTGTGCATGTATATCTGTGTGCATGTGTTCAGGTATATATGCACACATGTGTGTATACATATGCATAAATGTATATTTATATATGTACTTGTGTGTATATGTATGGGTATATATACATGTGTATATAGGTATGTGTGTACTTATGTGCACATGTGTACATGTCTTTCTCCTCTCTCTCTCTCTCCCTCTTTCTCAGTAGGATAAGGAACAGGCTGTGAAGAAATTTAAATGCTAAGCAGACAAGTTCATATTTAATCCTAGAGGTAAAAGCCACTGACATTCATTGAGCATGGGAATGACATGGCCCCACTTTCAGAAAATCACTTTGACAACTGTATGGAAGAACTGGAGAGAAAAGAGATTTGGGAGAAGGGTATTCATGAGAAGCCCCTTTCAATAGTCCAGGAGAGAGCAAATGGAGGCCTGGACTAGGGTAATGACTTTGTGAGTGGAAAAAAGGACTTAGAGACATGAGGTCTGGCTATGGATAAGGACCTCTGAGGAGTACACAGGAATAAGGAAGTTCAGAAGAAGGCTGGGTTTGCAGGGTAAGATAATTTTTCTTTTGGACATACTGAATATAATTAAGATGCCTACATGAAGCCAATTTGGAAATGTCCAGTGGACAGTTGGTGATGCAGGAGTGGTCCTGAGGAGAAAGACCAGGGCTGGATACATGGATCTGTGAGACATCTGTGTAGATATTATACCCAAGGGGGCCAATGAGGTCACCAAATGAAAGGGCAGGGAGAAAAGAGGGCCCAGGAAAAGTGTGCCTGGTGGCACACGCACAGTTAGGTGTGAGATATGGAAGAAATCCAGCAAAGACTGAGGATGAATATTAAGAAAGATAAGGGGAGAACCCAGAGAAAACAATGTCAAAAAATATCAAAAACAAAAAGAGGAGGGAGATACCTGGAGGAAACGGTAGTCAAAAGTGCCAAATGCTGAGAAGAACTTATGAAGGATGAAGATTGAGAAAAGAGCACTAGCTGGGACAATTATGAGATCACTGATCACTTTGCAGAGAGCAATCACAGCAGTGAGGCTGGAAGCCGGGTTACAAAGTTTTGAGAAGAGAATCAGAGGAGAGAAAGCAAATGCAAGGTTGTCAGTCTTTTTTAGGAGTTTGGCTGGGAGGAGAGAGCCTAGGACCAAAGCTTGAGGAAATGGCACGGACTAAACAGTGTTGTTTGTCCTTTGCTCTCAAAGAGGACCATGACGTCAGGAAGGTGATGCCATGACTTGCAAGTGAATTGGATTTAAGTGAGGAAGGGCTATGCAAAGTCACCAGCCTCACTCTCTCTTCCAGAGCCATCTAGGTCCAGTGGCAAGGTATAGATCAGGATGACTGGAAATGGCCCCCCCTCATTTTGTTTTTAAAGAGAGGTTGGTGAAAGAGAAGTAATGGATAGTGTTGGGCTTGGAGTCAGACTTAAGTTCAAATTCTGCCTCAGACACTTAATAACTTTGTGACCTTGGACAAGTCACTTAATCCCTTTTAGCCTCAGTTTTCTTATCTGTAAAATGTTGAGTATTTGACGTTAAAAAATGGCCTTTGTCTGAGGGAGAAGCTTTCCCAAAGGCAGTTTCTCAAAACCAATCCATGTTACTTTCTTCTTCCTATTCAATTCTGGACACAATTCACTGTCCATCTGCTGCATTTGTCCCAGATATGGGTGCTGATGGATGAGCCTAGTAGTTGCATATCCTAGCCTGGACAAAAGGCCTTGTTTTCATCTTGGGTTTTTCCTGTATCAACTGTTAGGCCAGACTCTTTTGAATGATTTCAGATCTCATTTAGGAAGCTTTGAAATGTTCCAGGGCATGATGTGATAAACACAATGTCATCGACAGATGGGAACATCTGGAAGTCATGAAGCCTCTGTTTGGTTACTTATTAATTATTATTTTGTATATCAGGTTTTCTTAAGTCAGGATATACTTGAGTATTGACAGTAGCAAAAATGAGTATTTCTTTTTAAAAAGCAGCTCCAATAAGTACTGTCTTAGAACCAAAATATACATCAAGGGCCCCTTTGAGAAGGCCTTCTGAACCCAACTCTTGGGCCGTAATCTACTAGGATACCTTCTTAGGGCTCCCATATTCTTGTAAACCTAGTGTGCATTCATGAGCCCAGCCACAATGACCACTTCCAATATCCTCATAATAACAAAAATATTCCTCGTTATCAGAGCTGACTACAAGTGGAAGGAACTGCCTTGGGAGGTAGAGAGTTCCCCATCACAGGAGGTCTTCATGCAGAAGCTAGAGGACCACTTGTTAGGAAGCAGTCAAGATGATTTCTGTTCAGGTTCCAGTAGGGTTGGACTAGGCCCCCTTTAATGTTCCTTCCCGTTCTTAGAATTCTATGATTTATAATATTCCTGCTGTTTTCAGAATACTGTACTAGGCCCTGGGGGAGAGACAAAATCTAGGCAAGACACAGTCTCTGACCTCAGGGAGCTTTCAGTCTGGCTCCAACACAGATAACCAGAATACAAAATGGTATGTGAGAAGTGCTTTAGGGTTACAAAGTATATGAGATATAGGAGGAAAGGTTATTTTTTTAGGCACAGGATATAACAATAACAACAATGGCTAGTATTTAAATAGCATTTTTAGATTTGCAAAGTGCTTTACAAATATTCTCACTTTGTCCTCACAATAACCCTCTGAGATGGATACTACCATTATCCCCAGTTTATAGATGAGAAGACTGAGGCAGACAGAGGTTAAGCAACTTACCCAGGGTTGCACAGCTAGTAAGTGTCTGAGGCAGCATTTAAACTCAGATCCTCCTGACTCTAGGCCTATTGCTCCACTTAGAATAGTATTTAGGGAAGGTTTTGAGAGGATACCATGTAGGAATTGAGGGTTAAAGGTAGGAATTCAGTGGATCGTAGGATCATAGATTCAGAGTTGGAAGGGACCTTGGATTTCATTTAATCCAACCCCTTCATTTTACAGATGAGGAACGTGAAGCCCAGAATATTAAATGACTTGTACAAGGTCCCATGGAGAGTGAGTGGCAGAAGCAGTATTTGAACCTGGGCCCTCTGACTCCAAATCCCGGACACGAAGAGGAGGAGAAGAGAGCATTCAAGGCCTAGGGAACAGGCTGAACAAAGGCACAAAGGTGTGTTCCAGAGCCATTTTGCCTGGAGAGTAGAGTTTGTGTGTGAAGGATAGTTTGAGATAAGGCCAGAAAGTGATGGTGGTTCCAGATGGTGGAGATTCTCCAACACCTGGTAGAGGGATGGGAGCTTTGCTTAGCAGATACTAGGGAGCTACTGAAGACTTTAGAGGGGAGCTGTGACATGGTCAGGTCCATGTCAAAGAAAGATTATTATGGAAGAGCTATGAAAGTGGATTGGAGGGAAAAGAGAGAAGTAGGATGTATTTGTTTGTCTGGTCTTCCCAACTAGGTTTTAAGCTTCTTGAGGACAGGGACTTATATTTACAATGCCTATATAGTATATGCTATATTATTATATAGTAAATGCTGTATAAATTCTAGCTACTACTGCTACTGCTGTTACCACCACCACCACTACTATTACCATCATCACCATCACTACTACCCCTACTACCACTACCACTACCATCACCACCACCACTACTGTTACTATCACCATGACCAACATCACTGCTACTACTAGTAGTACTACTACTACTACTATTACTCCTATCACCACCACCAGCAGTAGCACCATCAGTACTACTATTACCACCACCACCACTTACTACTACAACTACAACTATTACTACTACCATCTATGTAACCCCCTCATAGAGCCTAGCACGTAGTGCGTGTATATATCATGTGTGTATATATGTATATACACACACACATATAATGTGTGTATAGCATATATATATATGTATAGTGTATGTGTGTGTATAGCATATATATATAGTGCATGTATATAGTGCATATATATTCTTCACTGTATCATGTTGGGGTGTAGTAGAAAAATGTTGGACTTAAGAGTCAACAGAAACCTGGTTCTGAATCCTCCCTCTATCACTTACCAGCTGTGTGACCTTAAGCAAGTCAGGCTGCTGGTAGCTCAGTAGACAGAGCTCTGGGCCTGAAGTCAGGGCAATGAGAATGCAAAGTCCTACCTCAGACACTTAGTAGCTATGTGATCCTGGACTAGTCACTTAACCTCTGTCTGCCTCAGTTTCCTTAACTATAAAATGGGGATCATAATAGCACCTACCTCCCACAATTGTTTTGAGGATCAAATGAGATAATATTTGTAAAGCACTTAGTACAGTGTCTGGCACATAGGAGGTGCTTAATAAATGTTAACTATGATGATGATGATTATGTAAAATGAATGTGTAAAAAAACAAAACAAAACAGCACCTACCTCCTAGGGTTGTTGTGAGGATCAAAGGGGATGATATTTGTCAAATGCTTTGCAAACCTTAAAAAAATTATATACACGTAGGCTATTGTTATTGTCACTTACCCTCTCTGACCCTCAGTTTCCTCATTTGTAACATAGGGATAATAATAGTACCTACTTTTCATGGTTGTTGTGAAGATCAAATGGAATAATATGTAAGGTGCTTTGCCAACTTTAAAGTTTTCTATAAATGGTAGCAATCTTTATTACTGATAGGTGCTCAAAAATATTAGTTGCTAATTGATGAAGATGACGATGATGATGACAATGATGATGACGATGATGATGATAATGATGGTGATGGTGACGATGATGATGATAATGATGGTGGTGGTGGTGGTGGTGGTGACAATGCTGCTGCTGGTGATGATGATGATGGTATTCAGAACATCCAGGACAGAGATGTTATCAGCAGAGACATCTGTTTCATGCTGCCTGTTTTGTATTCTGGAGTGCTGCTTAGGACTATCGTCTCAGTGGTAAATGGTTTTTTGGTGCATAAAATGGAGATAAAAGATGTGGACCCATGATTCAAATATCTGAACTTGAATTCAGAAGTTTTTAGGGGTGAATCTTGCAGATCTGATCCTCTAAGACCAGTTTTCCTTTTGATATCCACACTGAGGGCTCCATACAATTCTCAGGTTAATGAGAGGAAAGAGTGAGCCCTCTGTGAAGAAAATGATCATTCCTTTCCCAGAATCCATCTTCCACCAATCTACATATAGCTTGACATTAAAAGATTGATGTGCAATTGGAAATTGGATTGGAAAAGCAGAGGCTATCTGCTCAGGTTCCAAAGGCTCATTAGATCATTTTCTTTGAATAACCATTCAACAGAGGCCAAGGAAGAACATGTACCTAGCCACCTTTTGATCTCTTACTTCAAAGACTTCTGGAAAGAATTTAATGAGAGGGCTCAGACTGTGAAAGAAAAATTAAAAAATGCACAAAGAGTAAATTCATTTAGTTTTCTTTTCATAAGATTTTCATATTGTCATTCATTATAGGTGGAAAGTCTCTAAACTTTTTCTGGAGACTAGCTTCAGAAATGAGCCAACTTTGCATGTAAGTTTCCCAGCAGGCCCTTGGAATTTAGACTAACCAAACAAACCTCAGGATTTCCGCAATATAATTTAGAATGTCAAGATGCTCAGGAGACCCAAGGCAGTTGTTTTCATTAGTTAAAAGGGAGAGGTCTCTGTCCTGTCCCTTGGGTGGTTTCTTGACAAGGGCCTGGGCTCAAACTACCATGGACTCTAAACAGTGAACAGGGAAGGAAGGTCATTATCCTGAGCCTCCCCACTGCCTGGGGACTTAATGGAGCTCATATGACCTCATTTTGACTTTTAACTTGGCCCCTTTTCTATCTACCCATATCCTCTAAGACAGGGGTGTCAACGTTCAGTAGAAAGGTGGGCCACTAAACTATACCAAAAAAAAAATCCCTGTGGGCCATATATTGACTTAGAAAACCACATATTAATATTGCCTCTGTTGTATTGTGCTTTTATTTATTTCATTAATCATTTTCCAATCACATTTTAATCTGGTTTGGGCCACACTAGGGAGTGTTGGGGGATGGACAGGGCCTGCCGGCAGAGTGTTTGTTTGACATCTCTGTTGTAGGGTACCTGGGTGGGCTTCTGCAAAGAATATGACATAAGATGCTATGACTTTATTTAGTATAAAATATAAAATATTTAGTATAAAAAGACTACATGTACAAATTTGGCTTCCAAATCTATATACTGAGCCGTGATCACTCTCCTGAATTCTAGTCTGCATCATCTAAACTTGGAGGTCCCATCAGAATCTCAAAGTTCTTACACCCCAAACGAAACCCATTATTTCTCCCCCATTCACCCCAAGACCACCCATCTTCTAAACTTTACTCTTCTGCTAAGGGCACGATCATTCTTCCATCCATTCAAATGAACCAACTGTCACTTCAACGTCATCATTGACTTGTCCCTCTTCCTCTCCCCTGATGGTCAATCAGGGGTCAAACATTGTCAGCTTGACCTCTACAACATCTCATGGACCTCCCCTTCTCTTCACTCACAAGACCACTGCCCTGGGAGAGATTCTTGTCCTCTCTTGCCAGGAGAATTGCGGTAGGTACTGTGTTTATTTTTCACTTAGCAGAGTCAAGAGGCCTTTCTTAAGTTTTCACTTGAGGTACCCAGAATGAAAATGGATGTCAACCAGGAAAGGTCACTGTGTATGTATGATATGACTAATCTATCTTTCTCCCCATCAGATTATTCATATCTGATTCCACATGGAAGGATCTAACCAAGAAGCTGATAGGATCCAACGTGACTTTATGCATATATCCCATGTTACCTTTGGATTCTAGGGCCCCACCTGTCAAATGACAGGATTGGATTAGAATAGGATGAGTTCTTGCCCTCTTTTGTGTCCTCAATCCCTTTGGCAGTTTGGTGAAACTCATGGAACACTTCTCAGACTCATGTTTTTAAATAATTAAAGTAAATGCCATATTTAGGGGCAGCTACCTGGTACAGTGGACAGAGAGCTGGGCCTGGACTCAGGAAGACCTGAGTTCAGATCCAGCCTTACAAGTTTACTGACTGTGTGATCCTGAGCAAGTCACTGAAACTTCTGTATGCCTCAGTTTCCCCATCTCCAAAACGGGGATAACAGTAGCACCTACCTTCCAAGGTTGTCATGAACACAAAATGTAAAGCATTTTGCAAACCTCAAAGCACTATATAAATACTAGTTCTTATTATTCCATTTAGGATTAGAGATTAATGAAAATAAAGACTTTTTTCTCTCTTTTTTTTTTTTTTGGCTAGGCAATGGGGTTAAGTGACTTGCCCAGGGTCACACATCTAGTAAGTGTTATATGTCTGAGGTCAGATTTGAACTCAAGTCCTCCTGAATCCAGGGCCGGTGCTCTACCCACTGCGCCACCTAGCTGACCCAGGACTTTTTTGTCATCCAAGCTCATGGGCTCCCTGAATCTATCCAAAGGATCCATGGGATCTTTAAGGTTCCTTCTAATCCTAAATCCTGAGGGATGATGGAAAGAGACCCAGAAATCAGAGGACCTAGATTCAAGTCCTACCCCTGGTGCTTACTACCCATGTGACCTCAAGTAAGTCACTTAAACTGCCTCAACTGTAAAATGAGGGATTTGGATGAGATGGTCTGTGGTCCTTCCCTGATCTACAGCCATGATACTGCATGAGGCAGCACACTCCTTCAAGCTCATGACATTTACATGTTTCCCTGCATATTTGCTTCACCCCACCCTTCCAAATCTATTTTGAAGGAAAAATTTGAGGGTTTTTTTTCCCTCCTCATAATTTTCCTCTCTGGTGTGGTGCCATTATCAGCAGTTGGCAAATGGTAGATTAGAGATGTCTCTTTTCTATTTCTCTGTGTTTTGCTGAGACCAGACCAGTGTTTTTCGGAGAGTCTTGGCTTTGTGTGATGGGCGGCAGCCCACCATGGGTAATGTTATACTAGGGTTCACAGCTGCTGGAACAGTTTCACCACTTAAATTCCCAGCCCCACCTCCTCCACATGCTCCAACTTGTCAGCAAAATATCTTTGGAGAACAGAGGAAAAGTTATGTGAATAAATATGGTCTAATTGGATGCATCGTTGTTGAACCTGACTGCTGTTTTTATCAGTTGATAAAGGCTCCCAGAACACATTTGAAACACTAGACGCATTTTTTTTAATT